AGGCATTCCTCAATTTACACCAACCACGATTGTTATCGCACAACGTCCGTCCATGGTGCGCACATATGTGCGCAAGCAATGATCGTCCAGCTTTTTATCGTTCGCCCATCGTGCACACACCGTTCACACACCGTGCACACATCGTGCGCACACCGCACATCGTGTAACGTTGTGCGATCCCACAACTGTACCTCTAATGGTTCGGTTCTGATTTCTAGACAGTACCATGTAACCTTGACTCCTTGCAGTGCACCTACACAAAAACGACAACTTTTCCCTGTAGTTGCAGCTCATTTAAACTGTCAATATTGAATAGTTTTACACAGGAAAACCATAATTCATCTAAGAGAACTCAGTTAACCCTTATCTTTTTAGTAAATTTGACCAATTGTTGTGTTTACCTATTCATGATAACCAATCCTCTCATGAGGCCACAAGAACCCAAAACCAAGTGTCACCTTTTAGCATTTCTCGTGTAAAATGACTTTTGATTCTAATTGCTTTGTTATGGTAACATAGATATTCATTTAGGAATTACTATGTGATTTTCAATTTAACGCTTTACATAATTTTCAAATAATAATGAATTAGGGCATTCATTCTGATCAGGTCAAATATGGTATATCATAACCTTTGACGCTTTCCTTTGTTGCTGTAGTACAAGTATGAGTGTCATTAAGATGATTTTTGTGTGCATGCACGATTGAAAACAAAAATATCCAGAAAGTTATTTGTGAAAATATACTGATTGCAAACGACAACAGATCTTTGGCATATCAAACCGTAAGGCATATCATGATCACTATATGTATTTTTTCCTACTGCTCAAACAGGCAAGAACTATAGTAAATTTAACCTGCCTGGCAGTAGTAACCACTGGACAGGATGAGCGAGTGTTTTTAGTGGACTTTTTTCCGTAAGTTAACTCATCTAAACATCTGACTGCTTTTATATATCTTTATATAATTTACTGGTATGTGAAACTTAAATTTTTTGCCAAGTAGATTTGAAAAATCAAGGGAAAGTAGCTTTTTAGAATAAGAGGTGAGTTTTGGGGGAGCTATCTCCCTTGGACTGATGACCGCACCAACCATTAGATAGTATGCAGCCACACTTAAAGATCGCTGTGAAGTCTCTGCATGGTCTCTTTGCACCCTATTGTGAAGTCTCGACATGGTCTATTTGCACCCTATTGTGATGTCTCGACATGGTCTATTTGCACCCTATTGTGATGTCTTGGCATGGTCTCTTTGCATCCTATTGTGATGTCTCGACGTGGTCTCTTTGCACCCCATTGTGAAGTCTCGACAGGTCTATTTGCACCCTATTGTGAAGTCTCGACGTGGTCTATTTGCACCCTATTGTGATGTCTCGACATGGTCTATTTGCACCCTATTGTGAAGTCTTGACATGGTCTATTTGCACCCTATTGTGATTTCTCGACATGGTCTATTTGCACCCTATTGTGAAGTCTCGACATGGTCTATTTGCACCCTAACTCTCAACAGATAAGCTCTTCACCTCTGGAGTCTTTGATAGCTTAATAACGGAGAGCTGGTCTTACACCCCATGTAGCCATGGTGTGAGAACACTCATACCAACCTTAAGTGTGCCTATTAAATACATCCAAGTCTGATTGACCAACTTAGACCCTGTGGTTAATTTGCTTAAACAGTAAATATAGAACACCTACCTTAGTCTGACCCTCATGTGCACTGTCATCATGGGCAGCTCCCATACTCTGAAGAAAAAACAAAAGATATGCATTCAAATATAGTATGTTATATAAAATTCAAAAACAGCTTTACTTAATAACAAGAGTCCGAGGGGGTCTGTATCACTTACCTGAATATGTTTAAAATAATTTGTATGAAGTAAAGATATAACACTCCATGGTAGGTGCTGTAAGTACATATGAAATTTCAGAAAGATCCATTCAGTACTTTAGATATAGCAAGAACAAACTTCAAACCGAGCCCCACCCCTATGCCCGTAGGGCGGTCATACCCACCAATTATACAAAATTGAGTCTCCTTGGTCCAAGGATACTCCAGACTAAATAAGGATAAAATCTGTTAATCCCGATGGTCGAAGAAGGATTTTAAATGTTTAACCTCTATTTTTCCTATTGTTTACTCATCGTTTATACAAATTGGTTCCCCTTCACCCAGGGATGCTTCATACCAAATTTGGACAAAATCCTGTCATTCCTACAGAAGAAGAAGAATTTTGAAGAATTTGCTATGTTTCCCCTATTGGGCCCCTCCCTTCTGCCCCCAGGGGGGCCACACTCGCTGTTTATATGAAATTGAGTCCCTTTTGCCCAAGGATGCTCCAGACTAAATTAGGATAAAATCCCTTAATCCGTAAGGTAGAAGAAGGATTATAAAGGTTTTACCTCTATTTCTCCTATTGGGCCCCGCCCCTCAGGTCCAAGGAGGGCCACCCCCACTGTTTATACAAAATTGCTTCCCTTTTACCCCAAGATGCTCCACACCAAATATGGACCAATTCCTTTCATTCCTTCAGCAGAAGAAAGATTTTAAAGAATTTGCTATATTTCCCCTATTGGGCCCGCCCCTCGGCAGCCCCCAGGGGGGCCAGACCCACCGTTTATACAAAATTGGTTCCCCTTCACCCAAGAATGCTTCAGACCAAATATGGACCAATTTCTTTCATTCCTACAGAATAAGAATTCCCCTATTGGGCTTCGCCTCTCAGCCCCAAGGAGGGGCCAGACCCACCATTTATAAAAAAAAATGTTCCCCTTCCCCCAAGGATGCATTTGACCAAATATGGACCAAATCCTTTCATTCCTACAGAATACGAATGATTTTAAGGAATTTGCAATGTTTCCCCTATTGGGCCACACCCCTCAGGCCCATGGGGGGAGCAGACCAACGGTTTATACAAAATTGGTTCCCCTTCACCCAAGGATGCTTCAGACCAAATATGGACCAAATCCTTTCATTCCTACAGAAGGATTTTAAAGAATTTGCTTTATTTCCCCTATTGGGCTTGCCTCTCAGCCCCCAGGGGGGCCAGACCCACCATTTAAAAAAAAAAAATGTTCCCCTTCCCCCAAGGATGCGTCTGACCAAATATGGGCCAAATCCTTTCATTCCTACAGAAGAAGAAGGATTTTAAAGAATTAGCTTTATTTCCCCTATTGGGCCTCGCCAAAAATTGACATACATTTTTTTTGTTGAGATGGAGACATAATAATATTGCGGTAAAATAGGGTACATCTGTATTTTCAGGATTTAAAAAAGACATTAAATTGCCATCTTCAGTGACAGAAACTCATGACCAGGTTTTTTTCCCAGTGCAGCTGAAATGAATGCTTTCATTTTGTGCTGTCACATTTTTTATTTTTTTGTTCATTGCAGATTTGTTTACTGCATTGCGTTCTACAGATTTATAATAGACACCTGCATAGTGTTAGTCCTTTTTATTGGTTATGAGGTTTTCCAAAACCTTTGATTCTTGTGACGAAAGTGGTAAGAATTTTGATAGTTTTACAGCTAATTGGAAACTACAGACATTTATTTTAACTAGTGTTAAAAAGACATAAACAACAGTGATGATTTTATACCACTTGTGGTTTTGTTTAAAATACATCAAACAATGCTGATGATGAGAATGAAATCCTGACAAAGATACATGGACAGTTCCACTAATTGCTAATGTCATTTTTTTATTAAGAGGCCGGACGCCGGACGCCATGGCATAAGCTCACTTGGCACTTTGTGCCAGGTGAGCTAAAAATTGACAGGCTTTGAAGTTGGGCGTCTCTCCTTTGTAATCTTCAAAGGACAGGTATCAGCTTAGCGATTGGTCATTTTCTTTTTTATCTGAGACCAATCAAACAGTTATCTTTGTGCCTTCAATTTTGCCATGACATATTCCAGGGGTGCAGAGAGCGAAAGTGAGCGTAACCACTGGATATCGAGGATGGGTTACTCTAGATGAAAGAGCTAGAAAATATGCCCTGGATATTTTTTCAAAGGTCAAACAATAGGTCACAGTGACCTACATTTTACAGTTGACACTTGAACATTTCAAGATGTACTTGCCTACCAAGTCTGGTTACTCAGGTGAAAGAGTTTAGATGATATGCCCCTGACAAACTCTTGGGACAGACTGGGTGCAAACCTATAGTCCCCCACCTGAAGGAGTGCACACCTATAGTCCCCCACCCCTGGAACCAGAGGGGACAATTAACTTTGTTTATTCAATTAGGTGAACACTTATGGATGAATAAGTACAAGTACAACAGGCAAAAACTACTAAAATCTACTAATAACTGTTGTCTGAAATTATGCAAAAATTACTTGAATATACTAACTTCGTCAGTCCCCAGGCAAGTAGCTCTCTCCTCTGGTGACTTATCCAATGTTGACTTCAAAAAGCTGGCAAAAGGTTTCTCATCTGAAAGAAAATTAATAACTAGATTTAACTTGAATCATTGGCTTTACAGATACCCCTGATTGCCACACATCTGTTCCATTAGAAATAGTCTTGAGTACTTGAGATGAAGGTCAAATAGTTGGATGTTGATCTCAATAATGTCATTTCATTTTACCACATTGTGACCATCTGATTTTCACCTCAAGTCTGACATCCAACCATAATGGTAGCCAAGATATCATTCGAAAACCTATGCCTATGCTGTTTTTTAAATCAAGATGCCATAGTGAGGTTGAATTGAACCAATTTTATTACATTGTGTCTGGCATATTCTTGATAATAAAGTATGTTCATACCGACTCTGAAGTTAATACATCAAACATGATGTATGCTCCAGAAACAATTATTTTATTACTTCAAGATCAAAGGTCAAATTGAAATCATGGCGACTTCATTTTAGGATGCAATACACTACCTTCCCATGTTGTACGTACATAGAAAGCTTGATGCACATTCATGAAACATTAACCAAGATTTGCTCTGGAAACCATTATTTTACTGCTTCAGGTCAAGGTCAAAGGTCAATTTCAGGTCACAATAACCCTGTTTTAGGATGCGACACACTGCCCTTCTATGATGTACCAATGTACAAAGTGTGATGCCTGTTGGTGGCTGAGATATGCTCCAAACCAGTCAGCACAGATGGATGGATCAACAAAGCAAATAGCATATACTGTATATATAACCCAACTTTAAAAAAAAGCAGGGGGTTTAAGTAACAAGAGGCCCAAAGACCTTAGCGATCACCTGAGTTATATTATAGGTACTTGTAGCTCAATTTCATTGTTGAGATGTACAAAATGTGGAAAATAACATGGGAACAAAGTGAAATACAATACTTGTCATGTCACCAATGGATACAAACTTTAACAAGAGGCACAGATGGCCTGTATCGCTCACCTGAATATTTAAGCAGTCATAGCAAAATATTCTCATTAAATATTATATTGCACTACGAATAATACCCTCGCAAACTTTGTCATCTCCATCTGTTGAAACTACAAGCCAAATATTATTATAAGATTATCTATGCTTTTTTATTCTTCTTAAGAAGTTGCTTGACATATTTTCCCCTGTGACCTTGTAAGTAGTTCAATGTCATGTTCCTTCTCAAATTTATTAGCTCTATTCCAAAAAGCTACCAGCCAAATCTTATGAATCCATCCTTTTAGTTCTTAAGAACAAATCCTTTAAAATGTTGTTGACCTTTGTGACCTCTAAAGTAGGTTGAGGTCATTTTCATTCGCAAACTTTGGTGAGCTCCATCCCAGGAAGTCACAAGCCAAAAATTATATTGTTATGCCTTTCAATTATTCAGAAGAAGTTATTTGATGCTTTTTATATGCATATTTGACCCATGTGACCTTAAAAGAAGGTCAAGGTAATTTTCATTCTCAAACTTTGCTGAGTTCTATCCTAGGAAACCATCAGCCAAATATGAAGATTCTATACCTTTTAGTTCTTCAGAAGAAGTTGTTTGAAGAGTTTGACATATTTGACCGCTGTGATCTTGAAAGAAGGTCTAAATCATTTTCATTCTCAAACTTTGTTGGGCTCTATCCCAGGAAGCCACCAGCCAAATATGAAGATTCTATACTTTTCAGTTCTTCAGAAGAAGTCATTTAAAGAGTTTGACATATTTGACCCCTGTGACCTTGAAAGTCAGTCAAGGTCATTTTCGTTCTCAAACTTTGTTGGGCTCTTACCAACGAAGCTACAAACCACATATTAAGATTCTATAACTTTCAGTTCTTCAGAAGAAGTCGTTTTGAGTATTTGATACTTTTGACTGCTGTGACCTTGAAAGTAGTAGGTCCAGGTTGGTTTCATTGTCATACTTTGTTGGGCACTTACTTACAAAGCTACACACCACATATTCAGATTCTATACCTTTTAGTTCTTCAGAAGAAGTCGTTTTAAGTATTTGACTCTTATGACCCCTGTGACCTTGATAGAAAGTCAAGGTATTTTTTGTTTGCAAACTTTGTTGTGCCCTTACCAACAAAGCTACAGCCACATATTAAGATTCCATAACTTTCAGTTCTTCAGAAGAAATTGTTTTAAGTATTTGATACTTTTGACCCCTGTGACCTTGAAAGTTGGTCAAGGTCATTTTCCTTCTCAAACTTTGTTGCTCTCTTACTAACGAAGCTATCACCCAACTATCATGACTGTAGACCTGTCCATTCTTCAGGAGAACTCGTTTTAAGTGCTTGGTACTTTTGACCACTGTGACCATGAAAGTAGGTCAAGGTCATTTTCGTTTTCTAACTTTGTTGCTCTCTTATCAAAGAAGCTATCATCCAAATATCATGAATCTAGGCCTGTCCATTCTTCAGAAGAAGTCGTTAAAAGGAAAAGTTGACGACAATGCGCCATGGCATAAGTTCACTAGCCTTATTAATAATAATAACAAGATGCCCAGATGGCCTGAATCGCTCACCTGAATATCTAAGCAATCATGGCAAAATATTCTCCAAATGAGATCCAAGGGAATATGCCAGACCCCAATGCCAATTCTTGTAGTATGTCTGTATTACATTTTTCATGCTCAACAATTTAATGTATGGTTATGGGTTGGGGATCTCAAGCGTTTTAAAGTTATGACCTAGCTGGTTAAGTCTGCAAGGGTGGGGCAGACCCCAAGGCCATCCTGGTAGCATGTGTGCATTCATCTTTTTATACTCAGCAATTGTATATATGCATGGTTATATGGTGGGGATCTCAACTGTTTCCAAGATGTGACTAACAAACTAGGTCCCTAGGGGTTCGGTCACACCCCAGGGTCTATTCTAATACCATGACTACTTTTGTCTCTTTATGCCAAGCATTTGTATATATAGTTCTGGGGTGGGGATCTCAACCGTTTCAAAGTGATGACCCAGGGACTATGTCTCAAAGGGTGGGGCCAGACCCTAGGACATCCTGGAAGCAAATGTGCATGCTTCTCTTTATACTCCACAGTTGTATATATGGTTATACCATGGGGATCTCAACCATTTCCAAGTAATAAACATTTTTTGGCCCCACCCCTTAGCACGGAGGGGGTCAGCCCCACCATTTGTACAATCTTAAATCCCTGCCTCCATGAATGCCTCTGACCATATATGATCAATATCCATGGCATAATTCTACAGGAGAAGACGTTAATAGAAATATAGCCAAATTGCCCCCTTTTGGACCATCCCCTTAGCCTTCTGGGGGTTTAGTCCAACCATTTGTACAATTTTGAATCTCCACTACCCAGTCAAATATGGTTGATATCTATCTCTTAGTTCCATAGAAGAAGTCGCTTAAATCAATATAGCACAATTGCCCCCTTTTGGCCCTGCCCCTCAGGTCCCTGGGGGACCGGCCCACAGTTTATATAAAATTGGTTCCCCTTCACCCAAGGATGCTTCAGACCAAATATGGAACAAATCCTTTCATTCCTACAGAATAAGAAGGATTTTAAAGAATTTAAAATTGCGATGTTTCCCATATTTGACCCCACCCCTCAGGCCCCTCGGGGGCCAGACCCTAGGTTTATACAAAATTGGTTCCCCTTCACCGAAGGATGCTTCAGACCAAATATGGAACAAATCCTTTCATTCCTACAGAAGAAGAAGAAGGATTTAAAGAATTTGCTATGTTTCCCCTATTGGACCCCACCACTCAGGCCCCTATGGGGCCAAACCCACGGTTTATATACAAAATTGGTTCCCCTTTACCAAAGGATGCTTCAGACCAAATATGGAACAAATCCTTTCATTTCTACAGAAGGAGGATTTTAAAGAATTTGCTATATTTCCCCTAGTGGGCCCCACCGCTCAGGCCCGTATGGGGCCAGACCCACGGTTTATTCAAAATTGATTTCCCTTTACCCAAGAATGCTTCAGACTAAATATAGAACAAATCCTTTCATTCCTACAGAAGAAAAAGGTTTTTTAAAGAATTTACTATGTGTTTCCTATTGGGCCCCACCCCTCAGGTCCCTCCGGGGCCAGACCCCCGGTTTATACAAAATTGGTTCCCCTTCCCCCAATGTAAGTATGCTTCAGACCAAATAAGGAGCAAATCCTTTCATTCCTGCAGAAGAAGAAGGATTTTAAAGAATTTGCTATATTTCCCCTATTTGGCCCCGCCCCTCAGCCCCAAGAGGGGCCAGACCCACCATTTATACAAAATTTGTTCCCCTTCCCCTAAGGATGCTTCTGACCAAATTTGGTCAATATCTACTCAGTCGTTTATGACTAGTAGCGATTTTTATGAAAAGTTGACGGACGTCGGATGATGGATGATGGATGATGGACGCTGCGCCATGGCATAAGCTCACTTGCCCTTCAGGCAGGTGAGCTAAAAAGACCCCCCGGTTTATACAAAATTGGTTCCCCTTCCCCCAATGTAAGGATGCTTCAGACCAAATATGGAGCAAATCCTTTCATTCCTGCAGAAGAAGAAGGATTTTAAAGAATTTGCTATATTTCCCCTATTGGGCCCCGCCCCTCAGCCCCAAGAGGGGCCAGACCAACGGTTTATACAAAATTGTTTCCCCTTCCCCTAAGGATGCTTCTGACCAAATTTGGTCAAAATCTACTCAGTCGTTTATGACTAGTAGCGATTTTTATGAAAAGTTGACGGACGTCGGATGATGGATGATGGACGCTGCGCCATGGCATAAGCTCACTTGCCCTTCAGGCAGGTGAGCTAAAAAACATAACAAAAACAATAGGTCTAATCACAAGAAGTTAAAAGCCCTAATTAGATATGTTACGTGTTCTATGGCATTCACACTATGCATGTACAAAAAACTGTACTTTCAATGATAGTATATTACTGTAACAGCATCCATGTGCACTGAATCTCACCTATAAACTGGATTTTCTCTTTGTTGTTAGCTAGGGCATGTACAATAGCCACAGTTCCACATGCATTACCAATAGTCTGCTTCACGAAGTAGGTTTCAGATTTTGAGTCCTCTTCAAATGTCCCAATAGGTGTGGCTTTTGACTGTGAAAATCACATTATAATAATAATAATAATAATAATAATAATATACAACATTTGATATAGCGCCCTATCTAGCTAACATAAGCCACTCTAAAGCGCTTTACAGTACATAGATATACAATTTTATACAGTCAATACAATTAGCATATATATTAATCAATACAATATTGAGGAATTCGCAGGAGCTGCCTTATCAGGCGCTAACTACTAGTCCTATGCCACCTGGCTAATATCTCCCTATGTGTGTATGCCTGTTTGTGTGTGCTGGAGATGTATTGTGTTGTTTGTAGTGGGACCGTGCTTCCAACGGTATCATTTATATTGCCACCTCACTTGAATGCTACAGCACAGATACCGCAACACCCACCCCAGACCATTTTATACTCCACCTGGGTTGTTGGAGTTGTGTGGGCAGGAAAAAAACACTTTCTCTAATATTCCATGCGTACGGCGACTTCGGGGATCGAACCCCGGCCGCCTGCTTGGAAGGCCGGAGTGTTAACCACTCGACCAATTAATTGAGTTCAGATGATTTGCTGTTAATTTCATGTACAGTGCTTCATTCCCAAAGGGAAATAGTACCTGTATTATCTTTTTCAAAATTTCAAGCTTGAAATCATATAACAAGAGGCCCAGAGGGCCTGTATCGCTCAACTGGATATCTAAGCAATCATGGCAAAATATTCTCCAAATGAGATCCAAGGGAATATGCCAGACCCCAAGGCCAATCCTTGTAGCATATCTGTATTTGATATTTTATGCCCAGCAATTTTATGTATGGTTATGGGGTGGGGATCTCAACTGTTTCCAAGCTGTGACTCAGAAACTAGGTCCCTAGGGTTGTGGCCAGACCCCAGGATCAATTTTAATATCATGACTGCATTTGTCTCTTTTTGCCCAGCATTTGTATATATAGTTTTGGGTTGGGGATATCAACCGTTTCAAAGTTATGACCCAGGGGTTAAGTCTCCAAGGGTGGGGCCAGACCCTAGGGCCATCCTGGAAGCAAATGTGCATTCCTCTCTTTATACTCAGCAATTATATATATGGTTATATGGTGGGGATCTCAATCATTTCCAAGTAATATTATTTTTTTGGCCCCACCCCTTAGCCCGGGGGGATCAGCCCCACCCATTTGTACAATTTTGAATCCCTGCCTCCCATGAATACTTCTGATTAAATATGATTGATATCCAGTGCATAGTTCTACAGAAGAAGTCGTTTGTAGCAATATAGCCAAAATGCCCCCTTTTGGCCCCGCCCTTCAGCCCCCTGGGGGGTCAGCCCAACCATTTGTACAATTTTGAATCCCCACCACCTAGGGACGCTTCCAGTCAAATTTAGTTAAATTCCAATCAGTGGTTAGGAAGAAGAGGTCGTTTAAAGAAATTGTTGACGGACGGACCGACGACAGACGCCACAGTATGGCATAAGCTCACCTTAGTCCTTCGGACCCGGTGAGCTAACAATGCAACATATAACATCTAAAATAAAATTAAGTATCAGAAACAAGATTGTTTTAGTCTTATAGATGATGCTTTAAAATAAAAATCAATATTTCTAAAAAATTCCTTTCTTCCTTTCTTGATTACAGCACCACAATTATTCCAAAACCAATGCCTCAGGCAGTTGGCTGCATTAAAAACAAAACAGTGAAAATATCCCTGTATATATTCTTGCGTAAACTATTGATGCTGTTTAAAATATCAAAATGAATCCGGCAAAACAATTAATTATCTAATCAAGCGATCCAAGAGGGATCTTGGCACCCACCATCATCTTCTGCTCTTCTTTTCCCTTATCAACTGGCCATGGGTGAATTATTAAACAAGTCAAAGTTTCAAGTCTCTTTCACACACTATTTACAATTTCAAAATCACACTTTCATTACAGAACTCATTTTCATTTGATGATGGTTTAACATGCTGAAAGAAAATTCAATATGCACCACTAAGGACCAAGAGGAAGCTACATTAGAAATAAGAGAAAGATTCCTTCAGAGCTTTCTGAGAAATAGCGTAAGGATGGATAGACCAGAGTACATGGGCTTTTACGGTAAAGGCTATTGGATAAGAAATGGTGAAGTTTTCAGGTCAGTGGTTCTAAGTCCAAAATAACTGTACATTTGATATTACTTAAAATATATGAATATATTACACAAATAAAATTACAGTGCATGTATTTTATGATTTAGCCACAGAGTTGTACTGCAGATAGCTAATTTCCTCTCTCTTGGATTTGTAATCAACATGCTTTTATGGAAAAATTGTAGAGAATTATTTTCTTGGGATTTGTTTCCGAACATGTTTTTACAGCAGATAACTAATAGCTTAATATCCCTAGGGTTTGTTATAAATTAACATAATTTACTGTACTCAAACAGCATATTGGATGTAAAGAATACATTTCACCTGTACCAGTGAGGATCAAACGCACATAATTCAGCCTTTCATTCCATTTTCAATGATTTACTTATATACCAGGTAACAGTTAGAGTAACATGTGACACTGAACCTGCATTATACTTTAAGAGTAATGTGTGTATGATACTGAAGTTACCTTTTCTGTAATTGGGTAGAGCAACATGACAGCCACGACTGGTTGGGAAACCATCGCCAGTAGATCAGGATCCAATCCATAGATGTCCTGAAACTGCCATTCTGTAGGGACACCCAGTTTAGCTATATACTAGAATAATAGAAATAAACCATTATAAAAACTTATCTTAAGGTGTTTTTTTGTTCGTATAAAAAATTGACAAAAATACTCTGCCTTTATTTAACATCAGCATCTCTGTTACCTTAAAGCCCTCGAGATGAGTTCTTTCCTTAAGGTGGAGTGCATATGTATGTAATCCTGGTAAAATACTAGCCACTTCTGACTGGCTCGACAGCTAAGAATTTCTCTTTAACTTATTAAGTTGAGCATCAGACTTGTAAAACAGAGGTCCTGGGTTCCATAGTTGAACAAGCATCAAAGTCATCTCACTAAAGTATTGTGCAAAATTTTGAAATGACAATTATATCAAACACTGTCTTTTGGCCCTTGTTAAATTGCTATCTTGATCTTCTAGATTATGTGGAAACTTTTTAAAAATTCTTCATTTTTGAAAACTTAAGTTTTTTGAGTAATTTGGAATCTAACAAATGTTAACTGAAGTGGAAAGTGAAGCACCTTATCAATAGTAGGATGCATGTGAAAAAAAAAGCAGGCTTATAGGTCAAGACATTTTACACATCATTTTCCTATAGAACTAATGAAAAATATTTTGAATGTACACATCCCTCTCCTAAAATATTTTTGACATTCTGCCTCCAAAACCAAACCAATGCATCATTTCTTTTGAACCTGGAGTAAAAACTGAACAGATCAGATATTTAACCGGGTTAAGTGTTTATGCGAGACGTTTTAATGATTAGTATGAATTCAGGGGTGCTACAAAGATTCAATCCTTGGCATAATTAATGTACATGCATACAAAGATTCATTAAAATCAAACAAAATCTAAGCAAGTTTTCTTGCGGAAACTGAAAATTGATCAATGTACAATGCTGATTGATTATGGACGAATTTTGCTGAAGCTTTCAACTTAGCCTCAGTCTTTATTTTATGTTCACACTGATTTCAAAATGAATGATTTTGCCCAGCAACAGATTCAAGTATATTATACAAAAAAAATACAGGTACATTTTGTCAGAGACGTATATATTAAAAAAAAATGGGTAATATTATGATTAAAAAATCATACTATACTATCGAAACAAATGTACGAGCTTCGCTCTCTCCAGGCCATGCCTGAGTCATATTAAAACAACACTATAGAACAACGTGTTAGCAACGTTTGGTTATTAGTCAAGGAGACACAATATTAACTGATATTATACTATAGAATAATCTTGAAATAATATGACATCTAATCCTGTTTCCATATTCTTTACATACATGTATAGAGGTCTAGTTGCTATGAATATGCAATAAATTGTTTGTCTTTAAAATGTAATGAGATTATATTATGACTCAGACTCAGGTACTTGGATAACTTATGATAACAAACACGTCATGTCAAATTGTCTGCAGCAGCATCTGCAGTACTGTCTTCATTCCAAGAGTTGCTTCCCTTTGAACGTCATCGGGACCACTCACCTTATTCAGTACCTACAAAACGAAAATAAAATAAAATATAATAAGGTGAAATCAACACAGACACTTATGTATGAGACAACAGGAAACATTGTGTTTACTTACGTCAGGGTTTGACTCTAACGGTATCCATCTCTGGTTTTCGGCCATATTCGCTTCTCCTTTGCTTTGCTCACGTTGGTAAAATTTGCCGGTCTGCTAATAAATGTCCCACAATGCAGCGGTTCGGACTTCCGCCGTATTAGCTGCACGTGCAAAATCAATATTCACTGGTGCGATTAATGAGAAAATTTATTATTGAAATCGATTTGTGAGCGTGGTTTTGCGTTATTCAACACAAAATGCATTTTTTTTAGTTCTCAATGATTGCACGGTCGAAAAAACAACATCCCATTACGTCACAAAATGGCCGCCTGATAAAAAAAAAACACACGATCAGCTGTGAAACGTTTTGTACTGAATTGGCACGTATGAACCGTTATTGTGCTATATGAGGATTGCTGATGCGTTGAACGGTAACTCATTTTAACAGTTATATCTACTTTTACACTGATTATTGACACCACGTCATTCAACAGGTTTTTTCGTCGTCTTTATTGGTTGTTTATTTTTCACCGATAACGTTTCTGTGATTTCCAAAGAATGAAGTGGAGCTATAAAAAACATTATGTTTATATATACCAACATGCAATAGTCGGAAAACAGATATCAAACTTGAAATTGTATCGTACCAAACTCAATGACACTTTGCTTGTTTGCTAACACTTAGACATGGAAATATTGATTTTACAGCAGTGATGGTTAACAATTTTTGCTGACCTGACGCTCTTTACCAAAGAAAGCTAAATTCAGGATGTCAGTTGAAGAAACCATGGCATCACGGAGAAATACCTTCATTGTCATGTATCTGGGCAATGCCATACTGGACAGGAGGTATCCTCCTCAGTTTGTCATGCCTTGGGTAATGGCAGAGGTGAAGCGACGAAAAGAAGCATTCAAAGAGATTCGTCTGGATGTCATGACCCACGTACTTCGAGCGACTGGGTGCCTTGACAATACTATCGTCTTTGAGCATACCTTGCCATCTTTGTCGAAGTTTGCTAAAACCCATCAAGATGCATGCTGCTTTGCCTACCTGACTCGTCATGATCTTTACTGTGATTACGAGTGTCATGTTTTCCTGGCTCACAATGAAGCTATGGTGAGTATAATTAAATATGCTGTGCTAATTTGTTGAAGGGACAATTCAATTTGGTGAAGAAAGTTTTGTATCACAAAATTCTTCATGATAATATATAGTTTGGTACGTACTCCTTAGTAATGAACAATTCATGTCGAGAAATTGACAAGAGACATTTTTTTTCTTGGCATTCTTAATATATATCAGGTCCAGTACACTCTGCCGATTGAGCTATATATATAGCTATAAAGGCCTATATAGCTATATACACCTATAAATTATAGCTGTATTGAGCTATATTTTCTCAGATTTCAAATTTCATTATATTAAAGCAAAGTCGCAATAATTATAATATAAGGTTTATGGTAATGTTGACTACAAAGAGCATACAGTTAGATGTTTATTTTCATTTTTCATAAATGTAAAATTTCCGATTTTTATACATCATTATTTTTTAAAACGAATCCTTATATTTAATGTCTTTTGTTATTAATCTTATCATACAATCTTCTTTTAAAAGCGACTTTGTTTCGTTTTCTTTAAAAAAGAAAATCACTTGAAAATAGCTCAAAAGACCTATTTCAGATAGGTCAATAGAGCTATTATATATAATTATAGGTATTTACAGCTACAATGTATATAGCTCAATCAGCAGAGTGTTCTGAACCTGTATATGTAATGAAGAAATCAAGAACTGTACAACCATACGTTTTTTAGCGGCAGCTGTCCGTGAACTTCTAACTTACAAATATGTTCTTCTAGCAGTGGAGAATAGGTGAATTAATTCTCGCTTTATTCAGCTATGATATAATTAAGTTCTTTGGAAAACCAGTACTTGGATTTATTCTGGATCAATATCATCTTCCAAACAAGTTGAGTGATCTCAATCATCGTTAATATAAATGATTAATTTATTTCACGTCGAAACTTACTCGTATCATTCTATGTGCAGTTTGAAATTCTCCCTCAAAACCCTCTTCAGCTTGGGTTTAACCTGTTTCTCTTTATTTGAATTGATGCGACTGTGAACATTGCTCAAATATATATCTCATTAGATTTATATAATAATATGACACTTATAATTGTTGCTTTCGATGAAGTGTAAATTCAAAGTGACAAAAAATGTGTTGTGTGCGAAAATCAGACTCACTGACACTATGTTGTCATTTGCAGTGAGTATTGTTTATCTCTCACTGAAAGGCCTGGATATTGCGCTATTTCGGTCTTAGCTATGTTTATCACCAGCTTTCCCAAAAGAAAAACTGACTACACTGGACATTGGCTTCAAGTCATGTCATTATCAACTACGTAAAGTTTCGTATAGAGGTATATATTGTCAGTGTCTAATCAATTTTAAGGGTGTTATTTGACTAAATAGCCCCTTAAAAGAGATGCATGATGATGAAAAATGATAAAAACAATAATGCCTAATTCAGGTGGTATATTGTTTTTGTACATTAAATAGATCATACTTAAAAAGATATATTTTTGTATAGCCCAGCATCATTTATCATAACTTCGAACTATATGGGTCTATCACTAAATACTTTGCACTTTTAATGTTTTAAGAATTTGAATGATGCATCATTTGACCCTGACCAGGTATCAAAGTTTATACCTTTTACTCAAAAACAATAACTCATGACTGCTGACATTGAATTTGATGGGGAACCATTGACAAAGCTCTCACAAACAACCCAGGACGAGTTGCGCAATATCATCATGACCTCATAATCCAAGTCCTGGGAGCTTGATCCACTGCCTACAAATTAAACCTATTAAAGCAATCTCTTGAAGCACTGCTTCCTTTGATTACCTCAATCATGAACAAATCATTGGCTGAGTCAAAGGTTCCATTGTGTTTCAAGTAGGCACATGTTAGACCATTGTTGAAGAAGCCTAGCATATTAATGGAAAAGGAGGAGTTGAAGAACTACCGCCCTGAGTATCAAATCTGCCTTTTTAGTCTAAGATCTTGGAGAAGGTTGTGTCCCGGCATTTAGAGGTTCGATCATCTCCATGCAAACAGTCTTCATGACAACCTGCAATCGGCCTACCGCATGGGACACTCTACTGAGGCGGCCCTCCTACGTGTACATAATGACATAGCTTTTGCATTGGATAACAAGTGCAGAGCGGTGCTTCTTTTGCTGGACTTGTCAGCTGCATTTGATGTCATCGACCATGGCATACTTTATAAACGTCTGGAGTATACTCTTATGGAGTGACTGATACCGCACTATGCTGGATACAGTACTCTTATCTGAGTGAACGACGATGACAGGGTGTTGCCATCAGATCTACCACCTCACATAACAAAGTACTAGAATTCAGGGTTCCTCAAGGGTCAGTGTGAGGACAACGAAAATATTGCCTGTACTCCAAACCAATTGGAGAGATTTGTCGTCGTCATAGCCTTGCTATCATTGCGGGGCGGGCCGGGCCCTGAAGGGGGAACTTAGCTAAATTTGCTTTAAAACGCATCTCCTCCTAAACACCAGAGAGGATTTCAACCAAATTTAGTCTGAAGCATCAGTAGGGATTGGCAATAATTTACCTAAATAAATGAGGTTGGTTTGACCCCTGAGGCCAGGGGGTAGGGCCCTAAAGGGGAACTTAACTATATTTGCTTTAAAACGCATCTCCTCCTAAATGCCAAAGAGGATTTCAACCAAATTCAGTCTGAAGCATCACTGGGGGAGGGCAATCATTTCTTAAATAAATGAGGTTGGTCGACCCCTGAGGCCATGGGGGCGGGGCCCTGAAGGGGAGCTTAGCTAAATTTGCTTTAAAACGCATCTTCTGCTTAAAGCCGGAGAGGATTTCAACCAAATTTAGTCTGAAGCATCACTAGGGGAGGGCAATCATTTCTTAAAATAATGAGGTTGGTTTTACCTCTGAGGCCAGGGGGGCGGTTCCCTAAAGGGGAACTTAGCTCAATTTGCTTTAAAACACATCTCCTCCTAAACGCCAGAGAAGATTTCAACCAAATTTGCTCTGAAACTTCATTGGGGGAGGGCAATCATTTCCTCAATAAATGAGACTGGTTCGACCCCTGGAGCTAGGAAGACCAGCCTAAAGAGGAAAATTATCTAATATTAAAGCTTTAAGACGCTAATATGGATCCCCTAATAGCCTGAGTGGATTGTACAAAATTTGGTCAAAAACATTATTGAGGAAGAACAAACATTTCTTATTTGAATGAGGTTGATTTGACCCCTGCGGTTCTAAGAAATGGTACAGCTAGATTATCATATTCTATGGTGTAGTTTTCATAAATTGTTAAAAATTGGTTTCTGGGTTTATAAAAGCTTATAGTTGAATGAAAAGTATTGTTTAATTACACCCTGTAATATGACATATTACGTATTTCAAAATCTGTTAACATGGCAACTCAATGGAGGCCTCTGATTAGTCGAAAGTCAGATATTGTGGTCCCAGTTGGGTTAGAATATAGATCTTGTCTGGTTTTGAGGAAATTTCATATAAAGATGTACTAATGCATTCAGTTGTAATGACTTAAATATAAAACCAGGTGAGCGAAAGGTCCAATGGACCTCTTGTATATATATATGTTACTCAGTGATATTTTGTTTATTTGGAGCCTCTCTAGAAAAGTGCACTAGAGCCACAACCTGAGTTCCGAGTGACTGATGCAGACAAAATGATGGCACACAAATATCATCGTCACGATTGTGTTATTGTCTATTTATGGAAAATGAAATATTTATCGCCCTGCGGTAGGGAAACACAATTCTTTGTTTTCCCTTGCTCAAGTGAAACATGGTTAATGGAGGGAAAACAAAGAATGTGTCTCCCTATGGCAAGGGCAATAAATGAATAATGTAATTCCCCTTAAATGGTAAAATGTGTTTGAAGGGAACGAAACAGTCCCTGTAATGACATTCATTTACCATTTGAAAAAGTTGTTCAGATCTTGTCTGCAAAAAAACTACAAAAATCACTGTTCCATTAATGCTTTTCCAACATCAAATTCATGCTTAAGGAAATCTACAGATCCCACATATTTATGTCAGTGTATTAATGTCTGTTTGAATGGAGACCTAAATCAATATAAACACATCGATCTATTCAATTTTAATTGCTTGAGCCAAAACCAATTATTAATTGCCTTAGTGTTGGTGTTGAAAAGCTAGTCAACAATAAACCTGCTACTCACATATAAGGCAGATAATCCTGGAAGACAGTACTAATAAGTTTGTACTTTTTTCCTGAATTTAACACATGGTTAGCTACAATGTATGTATAAACCTTGGTTCTCCCGATGCTGTGGCTCTTGTCTGCTGTGCATGTTTAGAAAGAAAGCAGAAATGTAATGAATAAACAATGTGTTTGTTTAATAATCTTCATTAACTTGAATAGATTTTGTGTCTGTTGTGCACACGTCTTTGTTGGATCAATATACCATTAAGTAGAAGGCACCAATCTGCCAGTGTGATTGCATGTAAAGTCAGCTACATCCCAATACCTTTGATACAGTCTGGAGGTCATGTCAGCCAGCCAGCCAGACAAGGCCGTTAACCTTTACAAACTGTCTTTTGTACAAATATATTAGGCTTCCCTAGAAAATTTGTGCCAAGTAGTAGACATCCGATTGATTTCTGATGACTTGACACTTAATCATTTATTCTTATCACCCTGTCAGATCTCAGGATATATCAAAATGTATACCAGTATATGTACTACTGTACTTAGACACTCAAATGGATGTGAGCAACCCAGTTGCATTGTAATTAATTGATATATACTAGCGGAAAAAAGAAACTGTGCATGCCTAAAATGTGTTATAAAAATAAATGTGTACGATGTAGAACAACAAGGTTTTTAGGGACAGTTTATTTGCATGGAGCCTATCAGACTGTTCAAGAATGCTTGTGGGATGGCATTCCAGATCTGTACCAACGCTGCAGGCAAATCAGCCAACGTCACCGGTTGATTAGGTAATGCCCGTAATCTGCGTTTCATTTCATCCCAGATGTGTACAATGGGCGACAGATCGG